GTGAGACAGTCGGCAGGGAGCTCACAGAGAGGCTGACCTGGACCTGCATGATGTGCAGGTCTGCAGCCTCCTGCCACCTGCAAGAGGGGTGCAACAAGTCAGCCACTTTGGCTCCACTCTCCATAGCTGGGAAACATGCTCATGGGGAAGGTGATACTGCCCCAATGCCACACCAAGACCCCACAAGAAAACAGGAGTGACAGAGGGCTTGAGCTCCACAGGACAAAACTGGGACTGAGCACCCACCAGTCTGTATGATATGCTGGGTGCTCAGCACCAACCTTCCCCTCCACAGGGCAGACAACACCTCAGTGAGTCAAGACTCACTGAAACCTCAGGAAGGTCCTCAGATACTCATCAGGGCCAGTGAAGAAAACACACATGGCCTAGCAGCACCAAACCCCCTTTGGCAGTAGCTCCTGCGCTGGTGGGTGGTGGCTGTCCTCTCCCCCCATTTCCCAGGAGCAGCCCCAGGATGCAGCACATCCAGCATTGCCCATGGACCATGAGAACAAGCTGAGCATAGAACCTTTTCTTTGAAACCCCATTCATACCTGCAGGAGAAGCAGGCAGTGCTTTGATTTCAGAGTTATTGAATCCAAATGCTCATGAGCAAGCCAGCCCTCCTCCAGGGAAGAGCTGCATGGCAGTCTGGTGACCTTCCACGCCACCTCCACATCCCAGCCCCTGGAGAATAGGTGCAAACCTTGCTCACAGCAGCCCTCTGCATGCAGAGCCTCACTCCTGGGAAGGCAGCACCAGCAGGACACAGGCAGTCCTAGTTCCCCTGGGTGCAGAGGAGGCAGGAGCTGGAGGAGGGAAAGCCATCTGGGGAACACTCAGAGGGCCTGTGCCGGAGAGCTTGGAACTGCCTCCAAATGTTCCTGATTTTCAAGAGGCTTCAGTCCAGCTGAGGCCATAGGAGAGACACAATGCTGTCAGAAAGACAGAGCAAGACTGGAGCTTGCCCACCGCTTCGCACCGCTGAGGTCTTGGCTGGACAGCCAGGCCCCATCTCAGCACTGCAGAGCAGACTACTGCAGCGGCACAGCGCTATGGAGAAGACCATCACCAATTTCAACAGCACCAAGAGCAGCTATACTGCTGCCCCTGCCATGCCACATGCCAGAACCACAGTCATCGGGGGATCGTGGTGAGCCATGAGCCAACCATCTCCATCACCTCTGCCTTTCGCACCTTTCCCCCCACACTGCATGCACCACAGCAGGTCATCTCACCAGGGTGAGCCTGCTGTGCTGCAAGACTCAGAGGCTTCAGGCTTCATGCCAGACCCTGGACTTGAAGCCAGGCCCACTCTGCAATCCCAAAATCCAGTGGTCCAAACTCATATGAACCCTGCCAGCAGCTTGCTGACCCAACTTACCTCTGGAGAAGGGGCAAAGCCAGATGGTCTCCTGTGCTGCAGTCTCCCACACTGCTGTCCACAGTCTAAGGAGAAGAGGTTATTTTGGGGCTTGCTCACTATCACCAAAATGGCCTCTTCGTGAACATTTTAAGAAAAACAAAAAGCAGGCAGCCAGGAGGCAGGGGTTATCACCATTGTGTCCTGGCAAGCTTTCCATTTCCCCCAGCTGTGAAATGGGTACTTGTATTTCCCAGAGGCCGATGACAGAGCTTTTTCTGGGTATCATCCAGCGATGATTATTTCATTCCTAAAAGCAGTGCTCAGAGAGGAGGGAAACCCAGTACCACGCACTGCATTTGTGGTTGATTCACCCAAGAATCCCAGCCCTTTTCCTGCAGCTCTGGTAGAGGCAGGTGAGGGCTGAAGATGCACCCTTTGGTAGCAGCAGATTTGCAGAAAGCAAATTCTGCTGCAGAAGTCAGGGGGCTTCCCTGGTTCGGTGACACTGGGAGGGGCAGCTGCCTGGTGAGGCACACACACGCTTTCCCCTGGTCTGGCCTCCCTGGAGGTCAATATATTTACTCATTATTTGATGTCTCCCACCCACAACACACAGCTGAGGAAGCTTCTGTTGTATAGGGGATTATTTTTTGCAGCGGGAGAGATAAAGAAGGAAATGATTGATGATATGCAGACAAAGCAGTTTAATGCATGGTGGTGCATGGGCAAGTCTCTGCAGGGTACTGAGCAGACCCTTACAGCGGGCCCTCTCCTGGCTGCCAGCCCTGAGGAGCAGCCTTTGGCAGCCTTCTGCTCCCCATCGCCAGGGGAGTCTTACGGGGCGGGGGGAAGGTACCTATCGCACCCACCTGTAAAATGGGCAGCAGCCAAAGCTGTATCTGCTGTGCCCTGTGCCCACTCTGCCGGGAATTTAGGCAGCCTGCGAGTGCAGCTGTGCCACTGTGTGCTTCTCCCCAGCATCTGCCTGTCCTGCTCACTGAAAAAAATCACGGAGTTGCTGCTAATTTCATTAGCAGGCCCGTCAAGCGGTTCATCAATCTATGATTTCCTGGCTTGCTGCCGTGAGGAAATAAGCAGGATCTGCTCTGAATTCACAAAGCCATCCTCTGGGGTAATTTGTCTGAAGGCTTAAAGTTTCCCGAGTGGATTATTATCTCGGATTAAAACTGGGGAAAGGAGTGGGGTTTGCCGCTTTTTTTTTTCTTTTTCCCCTGGAATAAACCAGTTGCCCTGTCCCGGACACAAGCAGGGCCAGGCCCCAGCCCCGGCACCCGCTGTCCCGGGCCGGCCACCTCCCCCGGCCACCCCTGCCCCACGGCAGCAGAGGAGTAGTCAGTGAGAATAATCGCCTTCTTCATCCACACTACATAAATACAGTGAATTAAGCCAAAATCTGTGACCATAAAAAAGGGACTACATTTGCCTAATACTACTGCTGTCACTATTTTTGACATGATCGTGCCTTTTCACTGTGTAATTTCTGCCATTGCACTACCTTGAAATGCAGATCACAGTCTTCTGTGAATAATTTTTAAATCATTGTATTTGAATGTGTCAGTAGAGCCTTTCGATTGCATGTAAATTAAGTGTATTCCTGCTAAAAAACAAAGGGCGCTCCGCCCGCTGCCCGCACCCTCCCGCCTGCCGCGGGCAGAGAACGAGCGGCAAATTCAGGAGCGATAAATCACGGGAAAGGGGAAAGCTGGGAGCTAGGGCTCTTGGTGGTATAAGAAAAAGCAGAACAGAAACCACCTCATCTTCAACCCAAATCATCTTAGCAATAGAAATAATTAATAATAATAATACCACCAGAAACCCTACAATTTCATCTAGAGATAACAAAAACCTTTTTATCTTACCTCAAATTCTAATGCTGGTAATTTAACCTTCCCTCCCCCACCAATCCCCAAAAGCAAGGTCATTATTTTTAAATGGAAAATTTTCATACAAAATGAAGAGAGGCAGTCATACGTTGGAGGGAAAAGAAAGGACAAAGCAAATATCCTCAGTTTTCCACCATAAACCCTTCTGGGTTGACACTCCCTATGTGCCATCCCATTATTTTAGCCAACTGTTGGCTGAATTTGACGCAGAACATGAATTCCTCCAAAATCCCCTTCTCCACCAAATGTTCTCCTCCCTGGAAACTGGCCCCAGTCCACCCCACAGACCGAGTGGGCAGGAGCAGGAGGTCCCAGATGCCTACACCCAGGTCAGGGCAAGCTGCGCGGCAGATGCAAGAAATGAGGTTGCATCCGCCAGCTGCATGGTACCATTAGGCGTGCTTGTGCTGAGGTTGCTGTTGCTCGCAGAGTTTTGGTGGCCTTCCCTGCACTGCCCCCCTCACAAACAAGTTGCTCACACCGCAGAGTCCGCAGGGCTGCAGCACAGCCCGGCAGAGCTGTGCTGGCACATGCGATGGTGCCACGTTTTCACCCTCGCACATGTGTCCCTGTGGCTCTGCCACTCATTTCTCCTCCAGAAGGCAAGTGGCCTGCAAAGCTCCAAAACTCCCACTGAGTACAAGAAAACCCCCTGCCTAAGAAAATAAATGTGTTCTGCACTCTCTCTGAGCTACCCACAGCAAAGCAAATACGGGCACAGTTGGGTCCCACCATTGCTTTGTTCCTTAAAAACATGTAATTTCAGTTAAACCCCTCCTGGCACATCTGGCCGTCATTAGATAGAGGAGAGAGACAGTTACTGTCCTCCTTCTGCACATAGCTCAACAGGCGCTGCTGGGCCAGCGAGCTGCAGTTTTTACCTCTGTATTGTACTTGTCACTCGAGACATCCATAGCCCAAATGGAAATCATGCTGCCTCTGCAGCAGGAGCACTTGGGAATGCCGTCCCCCAGGAAGCTGCGATGCTCAGGGTACTGAGCTGCACGTGCCAGGTGCCATTTGACAGCACCAAATACAGCAGAAGGGAAAAGAGAGGTAGGCAGGAGGACAGCAGCTGCCTGCCCTTCCAGCTAGATGTCCAGCCTCAGTGTGGGTGGTGGAGATGACCTAGGCAGTGACAGCAACCACAGAACCACAGAATGGCAAGGGTTGGAAGGGACCTCGGGAGATCATCTAGTCCAACCCTCCTGCTCAAGCAGGCTCACCCAGAGCAGGTTGCACAGGATATTGTCCAGGCAGGTTTTGAATCTCTCCAAAGAGGACAACTCCACAACCCCCCTGGGCAGCCTGTTCCAGTGCTCTGTCACCCTCAAAGTAATGAAGTTCTTCCTCCTATTCAACTGAAACCTCTTATGTTTCAGTTTGTGCCCATTGCCCCTTCTCCTGTCACTGGGCACCACTGAGAAGAGTCTGGCTCCGTCCTCATGATATCCACCCTTAAGATATTTGTAAGTACTTATGAGATCCCAGGCGCCCCCAGCCTTTCCTCACAGGAGAGATGCTCCAGTCCCCTCATCATCTTTGTTGCCCTCCTCTGGACTCTCTCTAGGAGTTCCTCATCTTTCTTGAGCTGGGGAGCCCAGAACTGGATGCAGTACTCCAGGTGGGGTCTCACCAGGGCAGAGTAGAGGGGGAGGATAACCTCCCACGACCTGCTGGCCATGGTCCTCTTAATGCACCCCAGGATGCCATTGGCCTTCTTGGCAACAAGGGCACACTGCTGGCTCATGGTCAGCTTGTCGTCCACCAGGACTCCCAGATCCCAGGGACCCAGACAAGCCTCTGCACTTGCAGACATGAGGCACAGATTGGGCTGTTTTAGTTAAGTTTTGGTATCTTGCAGGTAAGGAGTGCCTCTGTGTAGACTGGGTGTCTGCAGACACTCAGTGGAGACTATTTACCTAAAGTGAGTTATAAAGGCTGAACCCAAAATGCATTTGCAAATATCTGGCTTGTGTTTTGGTCTCTCTCAACGGGGTGGTTTTGTTATCTCCAAGGAATGCAGCATCTTCCAAAGCCCATCTCCTCCTCGGTCCCTGTGTGGATGGGTAGATGGCACATTCTGTCCACCATGACTCTGCATCTCCTCAACATACATGGGAGGTCAGCATGTCCAGGTACCCCTCCATGCAAAGTTCAAGTCCCACCTTCTATTAAGGCAAATAGGAGGAAGGTGTGATGGGCGCCTTTTGCAGACACTGGAAAGAAATGTTAGCAGTGGCATTAGCCACTCTCCTCTTTTTAATGATCCAAGCCCAAGGTCTCAGATCAAGGCAACGAGAAAAGGGACAGGCTGGAGTAGGAGCTATGACAATCACCTGATTTGGAGCCATCTCAGGAGTTGCCATCAAGGCAACGGCAGCAGCAACGCTAAGGACCTGAGAGCAGTCCGTGGCAAGGCAGCCACAAGATCTGCCTTGTGAAATAGCAAACACTGTCTCAGCACAAGGCCAGACATCATCTAGCTGGCCACTGCACCCCCTCATTGCGTCCCACCAGGTAAAGCTTTCTCCTCATCCTCAAGCAGACTGTCTGAGCTATCAGAGAAGAAGTCCTCCAGATCCTGCTGCCTCATCTTGGACTCCAGAGCAGTGATGCGCTGCTTGAGCTTCATCTGGGCATCATTGTACTCTGTCAGGAGCTGGCCAAAGCGGGTGTGCAGTGTGTCCAGGTTCAAGGACAGCCTGTCCAGCTTCTCCTCCACGCTCTTCTCTTCTGTGCTTGCCTCTGCAGCTGACTCATCCAGCAGCCCTTCCTTGATCAGGATCTCCCGGCCACGCTCCTCCAAGACCTTTTTGGCATCGGGATACTCTGTGACTGCTTCCATAAGATCTTCCTTTGACAGGCAGAAGAGATCAGAGTAGCCCAAGCTACGGATGTTGGCTGTGCGCCTGTTGCCCATTTTGCTCCCTTTAATGTTGAGGATGCTGATCTCACCAAAGCAGCCTCCTGCAGTGAGCAAAGCATACTGTGTCATTCCATCATCTGCCACCACAGCCAGTTTCCCCTCCTTGATGATGTACATCTCTTTCCCAATGTCCCCTTTCCGGCAGATGTAATCCCCTGGGCTAAACACCTGCGGGCGAAGCTTCAGCACCAGCTCTACCAGTAGACCTGCCTCACAGTTCTGGAAAATCCTCACCTTCTTCAGTGTCTCCAGGTGAACGTTGATGGCAATCTCTGCCCTTAACTTATCAGGGAGATTCCTGAGGACTTCCCGTTCGTCTACTGCCTTCTTGTTGGTCCACAGGTAGTCAAACCACTTGATCACTTTGGTTTCCATGTCTTTGCTCACCTTACGGAACTGCATGTAGTGTTTGATGGCATCAATTTTTGCCTGGAATTCTGCCCTAGTGGCATTCATGTTGGATATCATGGATCCCACATTCCCCACAATGGTGGCAAAGATGAGGACACCAATGAGGAAATCAAAGATCACAAAGAGGTACTCTTCATCACGCACAGGGGGAGGGGTCTCTCCGATGGTGGTCAAAGTCAATGTAGACCAGTAGAGACAGTAGATGTACTCCCGGGTCAGATACCCATATTCAGGGTCTGTGACATTGGGATAGACCCAGGTGTCCTCTCCAAATCCTATGGCCTTGGAGATGGCATAATAAATGCATGCGTTCCAGTGGATGATGACCAGGATGTAAAGAACCAAGTTGCTGATGCGGAAGATGTTGGGGTGGCTGGTTCTGGTCTCAGTCCTATCAAAGAACTCAAACATGCGGGAGAAGTGCAGCAGCCTGTTGAAACGCAATTCAGGGCAGTGCAATCCCACAGCAAAGTATGCCAGGTCTGTTGGCAGGATGGAGAGAACATCCAGCTTGAAGTGTAAGGTGTGGATGTAGTTATCCCGTAACCTCTTCAGGTCCTTGACCAGGAGGCCCTGTTCCAAGAACCCTAACAGAGAAACAAATGATAGAATTATCTCAGCTTATCTTCTGCATGCTTTGTAAGCACTTCTGAGAAACATTTTATAGTATGTCATGCACATGCATGCATATATACACAGGGTCATCCAAATATTACCAGTTCCACTTGATATACTCAGTTCAGAAGCTTTTGTTATCACTCAAGCCCTTCATCTGGCAAAAGCCACCTACAGATATCACTTAGGGATTTACTCTGTTGCCATGAAGAAATAGGGACACAAAGGTTTCCATCCTCCAGATCATGAATTATTGCAGTTCCGACAGAAAACATACAGCCACCTGCCGCGTTCCAAGAACATTAAATTCTACCATTTTTCCATGTAGATAATTCATTAGCTGAACTGATGCAAAATCAGAGATACAGACCTTCAACTATGCCCGAATACTAATAGTAATGCAGGTAATTTTGTACAATTATTCAAAGGTGAAGTTGAAAGCTGGGATGATTAATCTTTCATTCTGAAACTTACTCCGTTTCTCAGATCTTTTAATTAGATTCTTTCTCTGGAGACTGCTTCGTACTAGCGAGTGCCAAGGTAGACAAAACCCTCCCTCTAATGGAGCTGTAGATTAGGCCTCTGCCTTGCAGCTCATCTCCGCTTTTAAGGGATTAAAGCAAAGCACTTACAAACCAGGATGACGCTTCTGCTTACCTGTGCGCAGGCGGATCACTATGTCCCCAATGTAGATAGAGTCTGAAATGTAGTCTAACACCAGCCAGAGGACAACATAGGTCTTTTGCAGGTCACTGAAGCAAGCCCTGGAGGAAGGTCATACAATAGGGTGGCAAGACCAACAAATCTCCTTATCATCTCCAACTATTACGGTTGAATATAGGCTGATTCTGAGCCTCCTAACACTGCAACAGAGCTTAGCCACTTGCTCCCCTTCTCCTAGAAATTAAAACACCCTTCTCTGAAATCTGAAAAATCTGCCCTCCCTTGAACTAGATAAAGCAACGTCTTGAAACCACCTCCCAAATGCACCTTGCAGCTTTACCCCAAAATCATGGCCCTTTCCAACCAGAGCCAGCGGATGGATGCTCTGCCTTTGCACAGCAGAAGTCACAGTGATTAGCGGGGGTCCCTTTCCTTTAGGTTCCCACCAGCCCCAGCACCACCAGTGTCAGTTGTCTGATCCTAGCTGAGCAAGAACAACCAGGTGAACAGGAGGATTAGAGGAAACAGGCACCCTATGCCCTCCCAGCTCACCTGGCTACGAGCAAGCACCAGTTATAGAGGACAGGAACAGCAATGACAGCCAGCCAACGGTAATACCAGTCCCCTGCAGGGTCCACCACAAAGATCTGCCATTTCTTCCTGGAAGCAGAGAGAAGCCAGAGCTGGCAATGTATGAATAAAGGGCTATACATAGAGAACAGGGTTGGAAGCCACATCGCGTTTATTCCCTTGCACTAGACTGGCTCAAACATAGCTGCAGCTTGAGTGCCAGTCTGTAAGCTAAAACCAGTTCCAGCAGTGCTGAGCAAAAATGTCCAGCACTCTTTAAGCTCCTTTATCCCCAAAACTGGGCTCAGTAATGTACCAGAAGAGGAAACTGTAGGACAGTAAGGCAAAGCAGGTGGCCTCCATGCACACAGCAGCCCCATGGCAGAGCCAGAAAAAGATGTATGGAAGAGGGTAACCAGAAAACTTATAATTACATGGCATTGCCTCTCCCAGATGAGGTGTGGATTCGTGCCAGACAGATCTTAAGAAAAGATTAATTAGAGCAGGAAGGAAAGTGTGCTGCAGATCAGTGGGAGCACCAGGAGGAGATGCCCGAGCCCCAGAGCAGCGACCCGGGGGGCCGCTGGTGCTGCAAGGCTGCCATCACTGTGATGCTCACAGCTGCCCGCCTGCAGTCTCCTCAGTCCTGGGTCCAGCCTTTGAACTGCTCCCAAGTGTTTGATCCTGCTCATCTTGGGACTCTGAGATAAAATGTGTGTGCGCCAGTCGCCAGATCTCACTGAAGAAGCTGGGAAAGAGAAACTCTGCGGCTGGGCTGATAGGCTTAGCTGCTGCAGCCTGGTAGGGCAAAACTCCTTCTCCCCCTCCCGCCCTTCCAGCTTTTGAACATGCAAAACTCTCTCCAATGATAGGAAAAAAACCAACCCGCTTGCCAACAGATTCTTCATGCCTGCCCCACTGCTTCTGACAGCTTCAAAAGCAAAACCTCTGCCTTGAAGTCTTCCTCCCCAGCGGCACAGGCAGCAGCACCCATGGTGCCCAGGACATGGGGACCAGCACTCAGCACAAAGCCAGTGGCAGTCCTTCACATTTGCTCTGGGTACAGCCAGAGACAAGCATGTGGTCCAACCTTCCCATTAAAAGTGCTTATCTTTTGCTCAGAAAGCGTGACTTAAATGTCTTCAAGAAAGGGACTCTGCTCCCTCGGACATAGAACATGGGAGGCACTGACTCACCTGCAGCCAGCCTGTGCTGTTGTAACACCCACAAGCACTAATAACCCCAATAATGGTGTTAATTACATTGGTAATTTCAGCTTTACATCACCAGTGCTTCCCACAGCAGGTGGCCAGAATCACTGACTTTATACTGACAACAGGGCCAGGGCTGGAGAACCAGGGCTCTGGGCTAAAACAGAAGAGGGAATAACCATCTGCCTCTTCCCAAAGGCTTTGCACCCAAGCCTGCAACCATGGAGGCTTCCAAAGCCACAAACAGCAGCTCACATTCGGAGTTACCAGACTTGGGGATCTTCTTATCTGTGGAGCTGAGGACCTAGAAAACAGCAGACGTTACCACCGTCTCCCCAGAAGCCCACTGGCACTGAGCAGCTCTTTCATGGCACACTTCAGCTCCCTCTGAGAATTAACAAGCTCCCCTTAACCTTGCAGGGCAGAACATTTTTTTCCATGACTAGTAAAGACCCAGATACAAGGCTCAGATATTTTTCTCCTACAGAAAACAATCATTTCTTGGTGTTTTAATTACCATGTATAATGGTAGGATCCAGAGTAGTCAGTGAGCTTTGCCCTTTAATTAGCCAGCAGGAGAAAAGCCAGGTTATTGCTTTTCACTGGGAGTGTGAGCTGAGGAGATGAAAGGGCTGGATTTGAAAGAGCCTTTTCAGAAAGCTGCTGTCATAGTGTCTGCTCTTGGGGGGGCATGGGTAGCAAATGTACTCCCTTCATCCTACAAATTATGAATGAGACTGGCAAATCCCATGCATTTGTGCTTGCTGTGGTCTCCTGGGTGGAGACCCTGCATTGCTTGGCTTGTCTGCAGCTCCTCATATGCGCAAGCTGAAGGTGCATCTCTTTACAGACTGAGGGCTGGCTCCAAATGATGACCCTAGTGTTGAACTGCTCTGAAAATGTGAAGGTCTGCTAGCCATCACGAGCCATGCAATCCGTGTTTCCTACCAGGCCATGGACCACAGGAGAGAAGACCCCATGGGTGAGGGACAGACTAGGTCTTTTCTACAGGGACAGACTACCAGGTTCTGTGTGCCAGCACAACAGCCCAATAAAGCCAGGCTGGCTGCCAGGACAGGGGCTGGAGAGGGCAGGGAGGACCCTTCCCACCACAGCATCCTACCTCCCCCTTTCCCATCCCCATCCCCCTCCATTAGCCATCACTGCTGGGAGCCCTGAGCACCATGCATGCCTGATCTCCAGCCAACAATAACTGGGCCCACAGGGAAGGGACCCTACTTTTTGTTTTCCTCCTCAGTCTCCTCATCCCCTAGGACGTTGCCAGCACCTACAGCCACCGTCTGGAGCTCAGGGCCCTGGAAGCGCTCGAGGAAGGGGTCCGGCCTTTGCTGCTCCTCATGCAAGCTCTTGCTGGCCCAGTCCCTCAGCACCAGCACCAGCCGGACTATCCTGGATGGGGGGAGAGAGGGAGAGTCAGGAGATTTCTGTGGAGCAAGGAGAAAGCAAAAGCTTGAGAGCAAGCAGGGGGGGCTACAGCTGAGAAGAAAACTCTCACAGCTCCCTCTCAAGCCCAGACATTTCTTTTTTACCCTCCTTGTAGTGATAGTATGGGACCAAGAATATATGAGCAAGAGAGCTCACTGTGGCAGAGACCCACAGCTCCTTCCTTAATCCTGCTGCCATTCCCACAGGGACATGAGGGGACATGAACGTGTGGGTGACTGAGGCAGAGTGACACTGCCTGAAAGGGAAAGGAGCCCCCAAGCCCACCTGGGGCCCCAGATGTGATGGAACCATCCCCTCCTGCAGCCCTCTCCATGGGCACCAGGGCACGCAGAGCAGCATTCACAGACACTATGACACTTGAATGCCATACCGCAGGAGGGGATTCTGGCCCCACACAAGTCCTCAGTGTCAAAGCCAGGCACAAAAGGCTCAGGCTCACCCCGGGCCAGCAGCACGCACAGGTACCTGGCCAAGGTTCGCCTGCCTTGGAAAGCAGAGGCAGCCGGCTGCTCCCCCCCATCCGGGGGAGCCCCTCTCCGCAGCCCTGAGGAGGCATCATCCTGGGTTGAGCAGGTCCTGCAGTGGGGAAAAGGGAGGGGGGTCACAGCCACACCATGGCATCATGGCACTTGCCCACAGCCAGATGAACCAGAGGAAGCCGGCAGCTGAGGTTTGGCATTGCAGCCCTGCCCACACCAGGTCTTGGCAGACAGCCTGAGCTGGCCCTCCCCTCCCCTCCCCTGCCCCACCGCTGCCTCCGTCAGGCAAACCAGGGACCAGCCTGACCTCCTGGTGCTGGGCCCCGTCCCCTCCGTGTCACCCTCCACTCGGGCTTGGGCAGGCGGGCAGGGGTGCTGGTTGGCTGGCGAGTTGTGTAGACCATTACTCTTGGCCATCATCTTCCATGTGAAGAGACCACGGGTGGTACATACCCTGCCCTAGAGACCTGCAAAGAGCAGAAAACAGCCACAAGAAGAGCCATGCAGGACACATCACGTGGTTTGAACACAGAGACATGGCACAGCATGGGAAGAGAGAGGGTCAAACCCCATAGGATGTGCCCACTCCGTGTTTTCCACTACCAGCTGTCACTGATGCTGCAGTTAGAGTCCTGCAGAGCATTTCACCCTCCCCAAGAGATCCCACATCTTCTGTGGCCCATGAAAGATGCTCTCCTCATCATTCAGGCTCCTCAGCCATTGCCAGGGCAACAGCATCCCCAGCGAGCCGTGCCATAACAACGAGTCCACGGCTCTCAGCACCACTGCCTGCCCAAGGACAAGAAAATAGACAGGTAAGGGATGTAAGCACAAGGCCAGCCCTGGCAGGGGGATGCTGTTGTGCAGCAGCACGTGGTAGACTTTGCGTGTACAAAGGTGTTTGCACCCAAGCAACCGCCCTCCTTCCCCAGGGCACTGCAACCTGCTGATGGTGTGCCCAGCAAGCCCCACCTCTCATCACCTCAGAAATCTCCCCTGCATTGGAAATTAAGGTTTGCCATTTAAAAACAGCCTTGCTGAGGTTCCTGCTGGCAGGAGCTACCACCTGGTTTCAGAGAGCAGCAGAGAAGACCCTGCATTAATACATGGAGGCTGCCTTGGAGCTGTTAAGTGAGGGATTTCACCAGAATTTGTTTATCTAAAAAGCGAGATTCCCATGGGGCTTGGCCAGCCCCTGCATCACATGCAGTCCTCACTGTTCTCCTGCACCCTGGTATAGACCACACCATGCAAAAGCACCTGACAGAAGCACAGACTTGCACATGCATGGATGCAAAGGCACACAGGCATTGCCCAGCTCTGCCTAGACCACGTATTCCCGCCCTGGCTGCCCTGCCTGCTCCCCCCGGGCACAGTACGCCCTCCATACCTGCAATGCATAGATGAAGCAGGTTCCTGGAGACAACACGCTTGTGCTCTCACCCAATGCAGCCCACAGCGGAGCCTCTGCTTGGGGCAAGGCAATGCCTTCTACATCCCTACCAACATGCACGAAGACTACATCCACGCTGCATGCACAGGGACAGTCACACACACCCAGGCGAGCCACCTCCCCAGGGCAGCAGAGCCGCTGCTGAGAAGCCACCTCTGTCCACTGTCCACTTACATGCCTGGCGTCCCCCGAAGCCTTCAACTCTTGGCTGCTGCCTAATGCAGGCTAGCAGGGGTGGCTGGGGAGCATCCCTCCCCCAGGAGCCTCCCAGGCTGTCTCCGGAGCACTCAGAGTTTTAAAACGCGTATTGAGCTGCAAAGCAAAGCCAGCACACATGGAGCTGCTTGCACTCCTGCCCTTCTCCCTGCCCAAGCAGTGCAATGCGGCCGGGCAGTGGCAGAGGGGCCTCCGTGGTGCACGGAGAGGATGCACAGGCGCATGTGCGTGTGCCTAAGTCACTAGAGCACGCCCATCCCCTGAGCATCCTCGACGCCCTGAGCAGCAAGGTGCACTTCAAAGGAGTTACTAGCAGCCAGCTTTGTGTCGGGGGATGAAAGGAGAGGAGGGAAACATGCTGCTCAGGGATGCTCCATTTCCCTATCCATGCATCTCCTTCTCCCCCTGCCACCTCATTGATGGCTGGAGGGACCCCAGACATCTCTCAGGGCAGAGCCCAGCTGGAGATCGCAGCTGTCCTGAGCAGCTCTGGGTCCAGCGGCTCCTGAGTCCCCAGCAAATCCTGGGGAACTGCCCACCCAGGGACAGGCAGAGCCAGCAGACCCCCAGATGAGGTCCTGCCGCCTGGGGGGATGCACCGGGATTGCCTCCCGGGCTGCCTGCTTCTGCTCCCCTCCCAGCCCTCTGTCCAAGGGAAAAACAAAGCTGGAGACTATTTCCCTGCTTCACAGGCTGCGCCACAGCTACTGCTATGATGGAAAATTTGCAGAAGTAGCCTCATTTTAACACCCTCCCATCCAATTACCTCTTCTCATGCTCAGGGAGTAGGAGACCGAATGTGCTGCTCTGGAGTCTGGGTGAAGAGAGCTGCAGTTTGAAGATGATCATGAAATGCATCTTTCACCCATTTCTGGCCTTGTACTTGGTTCACAAAGCCATTCTAATAACCAGTTAGAAAAAAAATTTGTATTCCCAAGGCAATAAGGAAGAGGTTAATTTTTACCCCCTGCCTCCAGCATCTAGCCATGTGCAGTAGCTGAGGCTGGATCAGTCCCTGCCATGCACATGGAGTTCTGCACTGTGTGCAGGGCTGATCTGAAAGCACCAGCACCCAGAGTCACTTCGCTAGCTGAGCTTTACCTTTTTTTTTCCCCTTCAAAGCCTTAAAATCCACTTGTTCTGATCTCACTGAAAACCTGGACAGCAGGGAGCCCGAAGGAAGAAATGGAATTTTTGCAGCCTTGGCCAGGGCTGCTGGCAGCATTGGGTGCTGCCTGGGTGAGCACCCAGCAGCAAGGGATGCACTGCCTTGCTCTCGTCCCCACGTCACAGGCCCTGGAACTGGGACAGGTCGCAGCCCAGGGGCGCCAGCAGCTGCTCGTGTCCCCCTTCCACCTCTCCTTTTGCTCCCTGCCTGCAGCTGCCTTCAAAAGCAACATGTGAACTCCAGGAGCTGCTCCCTCGCAGCTCCCTCAAACACCTTACTGCACAAGACACTTCGTTTTCTGTGCACATCGTTGTGGCAGTGACCCTAGGAGAGACCGAGCCCTGCCACGTGTGCCTTGGGACAAAGAGCTGGGAGGAGGAGGCAGGGAAGAGAGAAAGGAAATAAATAAAAACATTGCACCCCAACAGGGATGGTATTAACCAGGAATTCTCCTCCTCCAGATCACCCCCGGCTGGGACAGCTGGCATGTTTTACACAGGCAGGCCAAACGGCCTGCAGCTCTCAAGATGCCGGAAATCCCGCAGCTGGTTAAATAAGCACGCGTGGCTGAGACATCCAGCACCAGGTCAGAGTCCTGCTGCCAAGGGAATAAACCTTACCTGTTGCCATCCACTGGGATACCAGGATCAGACTCCATGGTTGGTAAAAGAAATACATCCAGAACACACAGAGTTTATTAAAATACGCATTTTATGGGACAGCGTTTCCAGATTCACACCAGGATTTATGTCTTACATAAAAGCCATATTGTATCCCCTGCAACCTGCCAGTAATTAGCCTTTGAGAACACACACAATTTGATCACCCCTGCTCCAAACATCTTCAATCCACGCTTTGAAAGGGGAGTGTCCCCCAAAGGGTCAGCCCTTCTCAACCTAAAATACATCTTTAAAAAAAAACAAAACACAAGCTTCCTCCAAAACATGTTTGCACCTCTCAAGAGAAGAGAAACCAGCCAAACTATTTCCCTTCTTTCCTGGCACGAGTCACATGCTGGCAGCCCCTTTATACAGACCCATTGTGTAAGGTCCCCTGGTAACCCCAGCCACATCCCTGAGGCACAAGACCAGGAACCACCCCTGCACCAGTGCTCCCATCCCTCAGGTACCCCCTGCCATGGCACGGCACGGCAGGCCCACCGCACCATCCTGGCTCCCAACTGCAATAAATCTCAGCGCTCTCCTCGGCTCAGCTATCAGGCACAGGTTCAGACCTGCAATTACTTGTGGGACAGTTATTTATTAGTCAATGTCCAGCTGCCAGATTTACAGTCATGGATGCTTGATGCAGTTGCAGGCAGAAAACACTCAAGCATCCATGTCTGTAAATAAGCCATGGGGACATCTGGATGACCTGCAGATCCAGCTACAATTACTTATAGGTGGGACAGAATGGTCCTGTTAGGCCATGCCAAAACCTGCCCCCAGAGACTGCAAGCACAACTCCAGCAGATGTGCTTAGATGAACCACCAAAAGCGTCTCAAGTCACCTCAGATCCAAGTGTTACTGAACTCCACAGAAAGAAAAAAATGGCAAAGCTGTAGAACTGGGCCTGGTTTTAGCTAAAGAGCATCTGGGCCAAGAATTCCCCTCACCTGTGTTCTTGCACCAACACTGAAGTTACAGCTTGGCAGCAGACCTGGGAGCCATCCTGCCCTCTGGCACTGGCAACCTAACAAATATCTACTGCTGCCCAAATGGGCAATTTTCCATGGCCTGTCTGGTGCCATCACTGTTAGTACGAGGTATTATAATCCAGAGAGTCACCATGGGGAGCTTTCCCATTTAAACCTCTCTGGGAAAGAGCCAAGGTCCTGGATAAGCCCAGACCTCAGCAATGCTCTTACAGTCACTTTGGATCTGAGCATTTGCAAACCCACTGCTGAACTCCCAACAGCAGGACAGGAGCTGAGGGGACAGTGGCACAGCAGCAGATGCAGGGATGGCAGCTCCTGCTTCCTCCAGCTCCACACCTGCTAGAGCCAGGGCTATGGCACAGGAGAACAGACAGTACTGCCTCCACCAACAAGCAGTTGCACAAGGAAGAAAAGAAGACCCACCAGCAGTTTAAAAACATTCAACCACTCTGCATAAGCTTTTGGGGTGGAAGATGAGGAACAGGCCACAGCAGCTGGCTGAGGACTCTCATGCAGCCAGAATTCAGTGACCCAAGCTGGGACGTGGTCAGGGGACTGGGCCCACCACTGTAACAGGACCTCATGTCCACAGACACCCAACACCTCAGTTTTGCATTTCCTCTGGCAGATAGCCCAAGGGCCAGAGGGTCTCCCATTGCTTTATGCAGGACAGACACCTCCTGTATCAGCCACCAATTTCTTATGAGACCAAGGCTCTTCACAGCAGCTTCCCACACAAGCACGGACCCCATCAAACACACAAGGTGGTTGCTCGTGTTCACAGGGCATTGGCAGCCACAGCCCAGCCCCGGGACTACGCCCGTTGGGCCATACTCCTTGTACCCCTCCTCTCCCTAACACCCATCCCCAGCTGCTGTGGCAGGAGGCCCAGCTCCATCGTTTCCCTCACCCACCTCTGATGCTAGAGCATGGGAGAGGGATGGCACCTTTTTTGTAATCAGGGCCTAAGGGACACAGATCCTCAAGGGCCTACAGTGCAAAAAACAGGTCAAGTTAAGAAGAAAAACATAGTTTTACTGTTTGCAAGTACAGGAGCAAGGATCCTCTCCCTGCCCTCACCCACCCTGGCAGGGCTGGGCAGGGGCAGTCAGGGCACGGGAAATCATCTCCTCAGCCAGAGCCATGTGTTGACGAGGCAGGCAGAGATCAGCACGGAGTAGACCAGGGCCTCCTTCTGCCGCCAGGCATTGCACTGCTCCTCCAGCACACGGAGCCTCCCCGAGATCCTCGTCAGCTGCAAGGGAAGCAGTGGGGCCACTGTCAGCCCTGCAGTGAAGTGCAGGACACTGGCTACACCCCAGAGGCGTGGGACAGTCCTGGAGGGACAGGAGCTGCCATCTCCTTCAGGTCCTCCTTGTCTAAAGCAGCAGCTACCTTTGCATGGGAGAATTAGCAGCAACACCTCAGCTCCTGAGCAGATGCTTCAGGAAAAGGTCCTTCCCACCAGAAGAGCACCTGAGCCCTTACTGCCAGCAGATGGAGGGGTCTGGCTGTCTCCTGCAGCCCTACTGCCCCTCAGGTAGGAGCTTGATGAGTCAGCACGCATGTAAGTCCTCCCTGCTTCTCCACTAGGAGCATCAGCTGGGACTATTTTGGCAACCCTAGTCCACCAGGACTGAGGAGCAGACCTAGGAGCCTCCTCACCCACCCTCCTATGGCTTTCCCAGGGAACATTTGCAGCCCTTCACTCCCATCTCACCTGCTTTCTCATTGCTGCCATCTCAGCTGCCCCGACCTCCTCCAAGGCACTCTCTAGGGCTGGACCGGCCTCCTGGGAGCTGAGGAAGAAAAACAAGAGATGCAGACAGACAAACACTGCTCAAGAGGTGCAGCTGCCTTCCCACAGACGCGGCACAGGGGACCAAGCCATGCAGGTAGTGTGTGCGTGCCCAGGACATGCTGTCTGGATGCAGCATCAGGAGAGAGGAAACAGCACCTGCAAAGCATCTACTCATCTCTTCTTAATCCCCATCATGCATATTTATACCCCTCCACCATGCACCCCATAGTGATCACAACACAACATACAGCACATGCCATGACAGACAACAGGGAAAATGCACGCATGTATTTCTTTAGAGGTCCAACAGAGAGAAAACACGATATTTACCGAGCAGTCATTCTCTATAGTCAAGAGGAATTCACTGAGGGTTGGATAAATCATCTTTAGAGCCAGTCAGGTAAATACGTATCACAGGGCCAATGCCAAAATGGAGGAATGATCTCATCTACATCAGCATGTGAGGATCCCGCTGGTGAGAAGCAGCCATCAGCTGGGGGGAAACTATCTGAACAAACACATCAGCCAGCAGAAAAGGGTCCTGTGTTTGCTGAGACGAGGATTTGTTCCTCTCCAGATACCACAAGCTCACTTTCCTGGGGCCTTCCAACAAAATAAGTATCACTTTCTGCTCTTATAGGAAATTTTACCTTCAACTTGAAACATAAACAAGCAACCCAAGCATGCGCCAATTTCTTCCATCCCTGGAAACAAAGGGCCCCCCCCTGGGATTAGCTGCTGCACTGGCAGAGGCAAGACAGACCACCGATCTCCCAGGCATCCCCTGGGGACACAGCCTTGCTGCAGGGCCCACAGCACTGAGCCACCAAAGCAAGCAGATCCACAGTGAGAAAAATCAGAACTGCCACATTCAGTCTGTTGTTCCCATCATCATAGGCCAGTTCTTCTGTAACCAAAACTCCCCTACGCACTCCAATACCTCGCATGGGCACTTGCTGGTACCGTAGGGGTTAGTGAGTGTCTAACACCACTCCTCCAGAGACCTTGGGGAGGGCAGGGTGTTTACTCCTGTTTGCAACATGATGGTGATCTTGCTGAAGACAAGCCAGAACAGCATGCGGAGACTCAGTGAATCTCTATCTATAAGTTTGTGAGATATTACCTCCATGTAACATAGCTGCAATATAAAATGAAAGTCACAACAGAAAGAAAATCCAATTTCCCCCAGCACAGAACCATTAAAAATGGACACATCCTGCAGCTTTTGACTGAAAAATCCCACTTGATACAGGTGAACACCCTTTAGAGACTAGAAGTTACCTTCCGATGACTCATACTCTTCAAGAGGTCACTGTCAGGCAAATATTCTAGTCTCTGTCCGAGACCAGACTTTTGTTATTAAAATTTCAGGACAAACAAGTCAGCTCAGCCATTTTTTTATTATTATTGTTGCATAGGGGTACAAAGCTGTCATAGTGAAGAGATACCGTATGCATCTGAAGTGATGCAAAGTACCAAGAAGAGGCCTTCCAAGGTGGCTGGCTTCAAAGGGAGTTTGAGACCTGGGGAGAGGCCCAGGACCCACCCCACTGCATTGCAGTGGCTCCACAAGCTACCACCTCTCACAGTACCATGGCCTAAACCTCCTCTACTGTTGACGGGAGGAGGGAGAAGGTCTTATGTAGCCATTAACCAGACCTGTTGGCATGCCCAGACTTCATTAAAAAAAAAAGCAACACTTGAAGACAGTCAGCCTACTGTGGTTAAAAGCAGGGACATCGCAGAAGTCAGCTCTGCTGCCTGCAGCTCGGAGCCAGCTGGGTGGGAAGGCAGGATGTGCCACTGATGGCACCGCTGACGGATGCTCGCTCTCCTCCCTTTCTGCCTGCTGGCTTTGCTCAAGGAGAATTAGAAGTATTTAGACATTCCTGCAGGTGCTCAGCAGCCTTAGAGCACTGGGGACACCTTAAGGCTGCAATGATGTCTTTGAACATGTTAAATTTACTGCTCTTGCACAGATAACAGTGTGGTGGAGATAGCTGCTCCAGCACATCCAGAGAGATTGAGGTCATTCCATAACTGCTCCAGTGAGCACACAGGTACATTCCACCCTGCTCAAAGGTATTGGCTATGGGATGAGTAACTCAGTGCAGCCAGTTCGTGGAAAAGGTTAATTAAGAGTGACCAAGATACAGCCAAGAGTGCTGGGACCCTGCAGGAGAGGGTGTCTGGGGGACAGGGGTCAGGCTGTCTGTTCTGGATTTTGATACCCTTCACACTTTTTTCTCCATCAAGCTATCAAGGCACGCAGAAAAATTAGCACTTGCTTAGCAGTGAAGAGCAGCTGAAATCCCAGCAAAGTCACAGGCGGCGTTTGATCACTCAGGGTGCCCAGGAGAGCGGTGTTAATCAGGAGACATAAGCGGGGCTGGGTTAGCAGGGCGCACCCAGGCTGGCTGCACCAGGCGCCCCTGGGCCAGGCACCCGGAGCTGGCAGACAGGGCAGGAGAGAAGGAAAGTCTGGGGCAGCCACGCAGGCCCATCCTGCTCCATCACAGTGCAGCCTGTGGTTTACAGAGCTCATGCCATAGCGAGGCAAAGGCAAGTCCTTGCAGAGTGACAGGGAGGTGGTTCAAGACGAGCCAAAGTCACCTGGACGGCACTGGGTCTTGCAGAGAGCCCTGGACACGGTGGAAGAGCACCTGGCCCAGGAGGTACATGGTCTGGAAGATGTTCTGCACAGAGTAGATCCTGCCCGTCTCCGCAAGGAGGGGGAGTGGGGCGCTGCGCGTGGGCAGGGGGGACGCATCCGGCCTGGGGTGCACACAGAATCATGCCTGTTATTTCCTGGCCTCATACAGCACAGGCACAGCCTGGCATTTGGCAGCTCTCCTGACACCCAGGACAACCCTGGACTTCTAGGGGGAAAGGTGGCTCTGCTCTCGGATTAAGTTAGAGACAATTTCTCCACTGGAGACGCTCCAGAGCCCAAGGCCATGAGCAGAGGACCACTATCGCCATGCTACTGCTCACAAGCTATGCTCAAAGAGCTGAAAGGCGAGTGTGCTCTTAGCCTATCCTATCTGCAAGGCACCACAAGTTTCAACAGCCCTTGCACAAACCTGGTTAAGCCCTGGTGCCTCATTTGCCACTGGTCACCTGCCCATAGCCCCCAGCACTCTGCCACGCTGGTGCTGGAGCAGGAGAGCACGCTGCAAAGCACCAAGAGGACGGTGGGCAGAGCCAGAGAGACCAGGACAAGCCAGAGTGGGCAGTGAGGTGCTCTTGGCCCAATGGCCAGGCAGGGACCAGCAGTGCTCCCAGCCTGCTGCGAGAGGGGACGTGCTCTCCTGCATACATCCCAGCTCATTGCCCTGGGGACCAACGCAGCTGCCTTCAATGCTGCCTGGCACAAACCTCTCTGATGCCAGAAGCCATGTTCCTCTCGTGCAAGAGTAGGACTTGCCAGGCACTGCCTTGCCCTGATCTGGATATCAGGGATCATCTCAGGGGACCAACACCAGAGAGCATCAAAGCAGCACAGATGACAGGAGATGCTGATCCCCACCCACTCCAGATGGCTCTGGGTTTGTGCTCACCGCTCATGGTGCTGGCCCGGGCTGCACAAGGCCAGCTGGGCACAGTCACTTGGAGTCCTCTCCCGCCGCGACTTGCTGCTGTGATGGCCCTGTTGGCATCAAACACAACCATGTTAGTGCAGAAGCCCTGCACAGGGCAAGTCCAGCCCGGTGCCCTGCATGGTCTGCAGTGCCAGGAGCCCGTCAGCACAGGGAAAGCACTCTGGTGGGAGGGTGACATGAGCCCCAAACCTGGTGAGCTGATGCTTGGAGCAGGGCGATGCTTGGAGCAGGGCAAGCATCACCAGCAAGGAGCCTGCTGATCTGATCTCTATTTCGATCAAAGATTCTGAACCTAACGCATTCGGGAATGACTCTTGAATCTCAGGGAGGTGAAAGCACTTGAGAAGGCAGATCAGCAGCTCCAGCAGCCAAACCAAGCCTTTGCCTACCCATGTCAAGGGTCTCTTTTTGAACTAGTTTCACACAAGGTTAAAATTGGCTTTCAACTCTGACACCAAAACCCTTTACACTGCAATGATGAAACAGTTCCATCTCATACATCATCCAGGAGAAACATTAGTTGAAAAAGGGACTTCAAAAGTAGCAGAAGCAGGTCGTGCGGGGACTGCACCTACCTCAGCCTATCTCCTGCTCACAAAATGCAGTAGGAGAACTGGCTGAATAGATGTCCCACCACCCCTACACCCTCATTCCTAGGACTCCTAGGAGTGGGTAGCACTCTGGAAGATGAATTCTGGCTTGGGCTGATAACAGACCTCTGGAGAAATCCAACACTGGGATTGCTCCTCCTTCCCACCACAGGCAACCCCAACCACTCTCAATATAGTACCGATCGCTTGCGTTTCTGGGAGCTTGATCTGCTGGCTACATGCAGAAAAGGGAGCTCGCCGAGGCGGGTGGGCTGCGCAGAGGAGTCCGGCGACATGTGCGCCATGACAGAGGGCACCTTCCTTTGCTGGTTCATCAGGATGGGCCTCAGACTGGCATCTGATATTTCTACAGAGAGGAGAGAGGGAAGAATTAAACCAACCTGAATGCCCTCAGGACAGAAGAAAAGAGAGATGTAGGAAAGCCAACCCTGAGTCTAGTGTCACCAGGCAAACATCAAAAGCCATGTCCCGCAGGTGTGAGTGGCAGGACAGTCCACAGAGGCATGGACTGGAAAGCAACCGGACACACTGTTCCATGAAAGTGAGGTCTGGTAGCTGTTTTTCAAAGAGATGGGGCTATATGTCTCTGCAGGGAGCCTACTAAAGGCCAAGAGAGAACTGTAAGAGATGTGGAGGGAGATGCCTCCACATTTTGCACCTCACCTTTTGGAACCAAGACCCCTCCTGCCTTCTGTTGGTCACCTTTGCCCACCTCTCCCCAAGCATGTCTCCACCATCCTGTCCTACCTTCCAGAAGAAAGCTGATTACAGTATCTGCCCCTGTCCTCTCCTCTTGTAAAGCAAACCACCGGGGACTTTATAAAGGGATCCTATTCCCTAGGATGTTGTAGAGCCCCACCAACCTTCAGCCACCCCAAAAGACAACCCAGGACATTACCTGCAAGAGAAATCCTATCAGGGATGTTCATCCGAAAGGAAGGAGGGACATCCTCTGTCACTGGCTCCTCATCCACAGGGCTGAAGCTATCTGCTACCTTCAGCCTGTTAGGAACCTGCATCCTTTGACTGATGGCTTCTGTGAAGAGCAGATCACAGCGGACTCTGTTCAGGTCCAGTCCCCAAAATGGCCACATCTTTTTTGATTTCCTCAGACTGCTTGAGCACCCTGGGGTTTCACACAGAGGAAAAGAACGCTGAGCAAAAGTGGTAGCAAGCAGCTCTTCCAAACTGGCACCTGCACAGGGACAATACACATGCTATAAGACAGCTAAAATACAGGCAGAAATAACCCAAAAGACAAGACACTGTCAGAGATGTCCCAGAGAATAGGGTGTCCCATGAAGCCCTGCTGGCAGGGCCAAAGGAGTGGGGCTGCTGCAGGTGGGAACTCTTGCCCTGCAGGGTGAAAACGGAGAAAACCCCTATGTGTCCTGGGAGAAAAGCATGAGCTTAGCACCTATTGCCTCAGTTGATAGTGTGATTGTGCTCAACTGATAGTGTGATTGTGCACCCCCCAGGTCGTTTCTCACTCCAGCCTCTTTGTGACCTCAGGAATTCCCGCCAAACCGCAGTCTTTGTATAGTGAGTTGGTCAGTTAAGCGCCCCTTCGTTGTACCAGAAACTCCTACGTGGCCAAGGTGGAAAAGGCACTGCACGTACTAAGGAACTCCAGTTGAATGTTTGAGGCAGGAGACAGAACAAGGAACAATCCGATCTCTGCCGCCAGCCTTGAAGCGTGCCTTGCCTGGGTTGCAACCCAGCAGTATGATTGTTAAATCCAAGCGAAGCGGTGCCACCGTCACTGGAGTTCCAGTAGCACCAGCTGGTCTGTGGTCAGGATGACAAATGCCTAAGGCCAATCATCTCATGACTCTATAAAGCAGCAGTTCAAGAGGAGGCCCTTTGAGCTCTCCTGGACGGCAGCAGGCTGCGACCAGCACCTCCCTCTGAGCGAACGCCTCTCAGAGCTAGCAAACTCTGAAGTTTGTTAAACTTGGAGGTCCATCGCCGAGGACCGACAGTGGAGCCTGGGATGAAACCCTTTACTCCCTGAGACTCAACCCTCACTGGCTGAGAGATGCCAACAAAGTCGATGTGAGTACCTTACTGAACTTGAGGTAAACTTTTAACAGATATATCTATATATATTGCTATTATTATATGTAGAGATAGTTGTGCTTCTTATACATATATATGCATGCGTGTGTGAATCAACCTAAGTAATCTGTAGATGTGTGATTTAATTACTAATTCTGCAAATGTTCATTTAGTCGATAATCAAGTGCTGCTAAAACCTTATACCCTACCTCAAACTGTGAGCTGCCACTAGGCATTACCCTTAGACATAAACAGTTGACCAGGTCTGGGGCTAAGAGTGGACTTAGCTGCACCTACACTTCTCCCTCAGACAGAGTTTTGAAAGCAAAGGGGTCTGCTCTGAACCTCATGACTCAGCGGGGGGGTCCTCCTTACCCTTGCATCCATACCACCTCTGTAATCATTCCAACTCGAATAGAACTTGATTTCCTTTGTGTACTTTTTCCATGCAGTAATAGAGCGAACCTTGCCATCTTCAACTCCGTAATTAAGTCACTGTTTTAATTACTTCTGTGGAATCATTTTGTTAACCGACTGATGATGGAGTGCTATTAAAATATCATAATCAAATCCTGTGATTTGCCGTAAAGGCACAAATAAATTCTACTATTAAATTAAAATTGTGTAAAGACATTCATTTGTGACAAATTCACTCCATTTGCGACAGACAGGAAGGAAAGAGCGATAGTTCAGCACACCTGTGGAAGAAGAGGAGTTCAGTATACCCTAAAAACTAGTGAAAAAATGATTATTTTCCACCCAGGAGTAAAATGTTTTGGAGGGTTAGGAGCACATTTCTGTGTTCCTAAGCCTTCAAGGAAAAATGAGGTTTTCTAAAAACAAAACACACATTTTGGTGATAAGATTCCAGGTTACCATGGGAAAAACTGAGCACTAAACTCTTTCTCTGCACACACTTCTGCTGCAGTATCCCCCAGGGCCATAACCCATTCCCCACCTGATCCAGCACCCATCTCCTCCAGTGACCCACACCAAGCTGAAAAAGATAGACTTTGCCCCGAGCAAAGCTGCCAGATGCTGAACCATCCTCCCAGAGGGGAAGGAGAAGCGCATGTCAGCTCCCTCAGGCCAGCACCAGCTCCACTCTCTCCCGGGAGGGGACTGGCACCAAGGACGGACACAGTCACCAGCTTCCACTGCTCCTGGGAGCAGCCAACAGCAGGAGCAGGACACGGGGCATGGACACTATCTGGGGCTTTGCAGCTGCTCAGGATGCACAACTGCCCCGTGCCTCAGTTTCCCCTTTGCCAAGTCCCAGGGTTTTGAGAAGTGCTCTGGGGCCACAATGTCCCAATGCTTTCACTGAGCAGTATGAGCAGAGGGCAATGAACATACATTTCTGGGAGAGGAGCCCAAAAAAAGACCTTCCTGGCTCCCAGCATATGCACTGTTTATTCTTTCTCAAAAAGCTGCAGCCAAGGAGAAAACCCCAACAAGTGAGGGCTGCCAAGGCTGGCAGACCCCAAGCAGACCCCAGCACTGCCCTGGCATCCCAGACATGTCATATGCATGCACAGCACCCTTGCACGCTCCTTGCTGCTGCCCTTTGAACTCGTCATGCCCCAAAAGGTCCCCCTTTGCTTCCAGGTCAAAATCTTCACCAAAACAGAGGCCACCTGCTCCAGCACAGCTCAGACAGCTGGAGGAGGGAGAGGTTTTTCTCTTCAAAGCTCAAGGGGAAGAAACGGGAGGAGGCGAGCAAGCAGGAGCCTGCAGGGGCCCTGCCTTCTTTAATCACATCCAGGGACTGTATTTAGCAGCTGGGTCTCTGACGCTGCATTTCCAGCCCACCAGGATGCTCCCAGCCAGCAGCAGCCAGGGCTGCCCACCACCATCCTTGCTGCTGCTTCTCAGGGCGCTTTGGACCCTTTCGCCTGCCCCAGTCCCCTGCCATCCCTGGGCTATCACCCAGGGGGGAGGAGCAGAGGGAAATCTGTGGGGAGCCACATCGTCTCCCAGAGCCCAAAGGACCAGGGGAGACGCAGCCCCCAAGCCACTGATCCCATCCCCTGCAGCAGCCGGGCCCTGTAACTCCGGATAAGTGAGGGCGGCAGAACTGGCTCTGCATCTGCAATAACCAGCACTTCCAGTGATCACCTGCCTTGCGCTGCTCTCTCCTCCTCTGTCATTAAAAACCTTTTAATTAAAGAGACAGAAATTTGCCCAGCATCAGCTGCAGCAACTTCCTGCTTCCAGCTCCACAGAGACAAGGTCCCCATCTCTGCAACAGGGTCTGCCCCAGAGGCTGACGGAGACACAGGGTGCGGGGGCACAGCTGCCCCACACCTTCTCCACCGCCCTGCCCAGACCCAACACTGGCATGGGTGACACCAACCCATGGGTGACACAACACACACGCTCCCTGCTTCTCCCCAAAACCGCAAAGAAAGTGGATTTTTGCAGGAACTCCCTACACCGGAGCAGGACAATAAGTCCTGGGATGGTCCTGTAAGTCCTGGGACAGTCCCAAAGCTGTGTCAGCCCCACAGGAGAAACCTGCATCAAACACCCAGGCCCACAGTCCACAACCACAGAGACCACCAGGTTCCTCCTTCACATTTTTGGTGCTTTAAAGGAGCGAACACCCTGTCTTGCTTTCTCAGCCTGCTCTCCGGGAAACTAGCATATATTAATAGCAATAAATCTGGAGAGGGCAGATCCATTCATTTTCTAATCACCTATGAAACTGCTACTGCTCCCAAAGAGCAGAGGGATGGGAGGGGAGTGAGAAGCGGGCTCTTGAGAACCTAAGCTATTAAGAAAAGAAAAAAAATCAGCTGTCAAAACCCATAAGAACAAAATGCTTAAGTGGCTGGATTTCCTCCTTTAACTTTCTTTAGGGCTTTTTCTAGCTATTGCCAAGCAACCTCCCCTTGCCGGCAGAAGAGGACTGCTTCTCAGCCTCTGCTTTGGCACTTCTCATCGCATTTGCAGCGACAGGGAATTTCCGGCTCACTAAGCCTGTAAGTTTAAGTCCTGCAAGCCGGGAAAGCCTGCCCCGGGGAAGGAAACCCCCCAGCCGCCCTCTCTCCGTCCCTCGCCAGCCCAGGACGCTCCACACAAGGCAGGCGGGGTGCCAGCCTGGTCCAGGATCCCCCTC